AAGTCTCTTTGATCTTCCAGAGGCCTCTTGTATTTATCTACCTGTTGCTTTACCTACCTGCAGACATATGGTGCCATGTTTTCTGATGCTGGAGTTTGTAATTTTCCAAGTGACACAGAATTCTTCATTCATCTAAATATCTAAAGTCTCAAAGCCAACAGGCAACAAACTGTTGGATTTGGGTTTTGGTGTATGGAATTCTGTTGATGAGGGAGCAGCATATGAACTCATTTTACAATGGGTTCATATAGTCAAAATGTTAGTGTTTCTTGAAGGGACTTCACTGCTTATACATGTCATTTTTGTTTACTTTCCTTCTCAATCTGCATATCCCTTACACTGTACTGGCAAAAGAGTCCTGTACTAAATCAGATTTGCTCAGTAAAATATTTTTAATAGTGTAAAAGCCATAGCATTTTTCCTGAGTTTTACGTTTGGATGACAAAAACAGAGTTAAAAATACCCCCAAATTATCAGACATATGGAGTCTGCAAATTATGATATTATTATTGTACAGTAGGCAAATGGACAAAAAAGTATTTTTCCTACCTCCTTCATTTTCATTTGCATCATCAGAGAAATTTACAAATAAATTAAACATTTTCAGTGATTAATCTTGCAGCTGTTGCCCAGATATATAATCCAATACTCAACAATTCATTTGAATATATTTAATTTTATCTACATGGCATTACTTAAACTAATCTACAACACAGAGAGATAGATAAATACATACATTCTCTTTTTAAATGTTTTGGCGCACAGAAATTTATTTCAGAAGTGAACCTATTTCTTCAGAAGATGAGGATGGAGAGACTCAAGAAAACAAGATAAAATCTCTGAGCAAATATTTGCCTCCAAAGAAAACAATCACTCAGATTATGAAGGACAAAAAGAAGCAGACACAACTCACTTTGCAATGGTAGGTTAAATAACCAAGGAAGCTTTAATGTATGGGCAATTATTTTCTATTACACAGTATGTGCTAGTTAGCTTTTTCTGTATTGTCATGGGAAAAAGGAAATCTTGTCTTCTGATAAACGTTATAATGATCTCAAAATGAGGTTGCATGCAAATGTCATGCAATGTCATTGGCCCCCGTCCCCTGTGGGTGATCAAGGATGAAAGTCAACCGCCAATAATTCTAGACAAGTGAAACTCTATCAATGTAACATTTATAAAAACAAATATAAGAAAATACATTGTTCGTATTGTAACTCAACCATCTAATGTAAATACCTGTTTTTGTAAATATTTTGCTACAGTTTCACTTAACTGGATTGTATATTTTACGGAAAATGGTTATAAATGTATTGATTTACCTGAGTTTTTCTGTTCATCTGTTTGGTTTAAACAATATTCCTTTTGGGCCTTAAATGGGATGGGATGGGATAGAATTGAATCAAATAGAATAGAATAGAATAGAATAGAATAGAATAGAATAGAATAGAA